TCCCATTACAAGCATTCCAGTCTCACGGTGCAGGTTTGGAGGCAGGCGGCATCTTTAATGCAAATGATTGCAGAGTGTCAGAATAGAAAACACATCAAGAGAAAGATCACTTGCAAGTCTTTCACTGCAGGCAAGGTAGGGTTATGCTGCAGCACTGACTACTAACTGAGATCAGTTCAACTGGTTGTCCTGTCCACTATCTTCTCTAGTAATAGCTATAAGATAATGTTCCAGAGAGAGATCTTAGAATGGTGCTGCTGATCATGCAGCTGATGTAGAAAAAAACCTAATCCATGTTTGTATTTACTTAGAAGTATAAAATCCAATACCATTTTATCTTCCTAATCCTGTTTTATGTAATTACGCAAATTCATTTTTTAAATTTTGCTTAATTATGATCGATATGTAGTCAATTTAAAAAAATTATGCTTTCAAAGCAATTCCAGTCATAACTCAAGGAAAGGCTGTTTCAGTGACTCCTGATAGTTCGTTAGAAAAGGACATACAATTCCGTGGGTTGGTAAATCCTACCAATGCCTTGCTGTGAGTGGAACTGAGATAGCAAATTCTCTAGGCTGTTGATTTACTGATCTACTAGGTCATTGATTTTTAAAAAAATTTCCGGTATTAAAGTTAATAATTGTTCTACTTAAAACAGAGTTCCTTTTACTCCCTTCTAAGAATTGTGACATAGGAATGTCCAGTTTTCTCCATTTTATTTAACTTAGCTGCTGTTTTATTTCATATTTGTCTCCACTAACCCTTAATTTTCTTGAGCCGGGGCTTTTAACTAGCATATTTCTTTAAGATCCTCTTTTACAGCATTAAACTTTCCAGTAAGTACTTATATGCTGCAAGGGAGTCAGCAAGCCCGACATGTAGCATATGCATACCTGGTACAAGGATATAATTGCTGTATGTTACAGTGACTTAAAGTTTGAAACACAAGCTGTCATTGAAATTAAATCCATTTCCGTTCATATTTGGATCTAAAAGCATTGCCAGCTTGATTATGAATGGCATAGATGGATTTATTCGACTCAGTACACAGGACAGCTTTCATGTTCACAGGGAATGTCCTTTGGGTTGATAGGTCCCTATCTCATGCAATGAGAACCGCCTGCTTCACTCTTTCGGGCTTTCCCTCACCCTGTCAGAAGTTCTACAGGATTCATGGCAGGGAGTACCAAATTTAATTTGCTTGGGCAGCGTAATCCTGGCTCCAAATAGTCACCAAACCAAAATAAAACTCAACTTTTGGTAAGGTAGAAGTATGACTTGATTGATGTCATGCATAAAATGGAGTTATATAGCAATGGCATACATTATTTTGACAGTTACTACTCCATTATAACTGTAAATATTGTACATATAGCCATTTGTTGTGGTGGTATACATATTAAATATTCACTTTTCATGGTAATGTCAGCCTTCAGCTATAATTACAGTATGTTTGGGATCATTTTAATTCTCATTTGTTTAGGTATGAGACAGACCGTCATGAGCGCGGTGTTGCCAGCATTCACACATGAGACAGAAGGACTGAATACAGGTTCCTGGTGGAGAGAATGAGTAATTACTGTGCAATGTGAACACACATGCTTTGTACACAGGCAGGTGTATAACATACATGAGTTCCTGTTGACTTCCCAATGAGATCTCCCCTGAGGAACTGAATACTGAAGTGTAGGGCGCTTGAGAGACACATCAATAACAAAGTCATGAAACCCTTCTGCATTACTTGGCTTCAGCCTTGCTGGTGGGAGCGCAGAGACCCCAAAGTTGCCCTGAGCTCAGGGTTTCTTTAGAAACTCTCTTGGGTTTCAGCTTTTTTTTTTTTCAGGGGGAAATCCTTGCAGGTGACATAAGGCATCCCAGATGGATAAGGAATCCCCAGATTGAATAGCCATGCGATGGTTTCCCTGTGTGTTGTTTGTTTGGAGCTAAATATTGTTTATAAAGATTTCAGACAGTGTTAAAATTGTCATTCGCAGTTTCCAAGGTTTTTCTTACTGTTCTCGGTGAACAGTGCAGTAAATACTGATAAAGATCAGGAACGTATTGGGAGTCACAATTTTCCAAGAAATTTGCTTTTTGTCTGTTTTCTGTAGTTTGACTGTAGAGAATGAGGGAGCGTCTGTTTTATGGCTGGAACTAGTGTTGCCAGTAATATGGCTACTTTAGAGAGCGGAGCTAGGTGGTTTTAGGTTGGGAAGCTTTATTAAAGTAGCTTTTTTGAAGTCTGGACTCATATAACCCCATAACCTGAGTATATAAAATAAAATAAAAAAGACTTCCATAAAAATATATTTTCCAGAGAGCATGATTTATCAAAAATATCCTATAAGTGCTGATCCTGCAATAGTTGTTGGCCACAAGCAAATTCAAACGTCCTGTATCTCACATCAGCTGATGATTGTTGCATAACCTTTGGCTTCAGCGCTCTGGTAGAAACCTAGAGCCTATTTCTGCAAAGAATGAGACTCTAACAGTGTTATCAAGTAGCAGCAGCACTCGTTTTGTTTAACAGTGCTGGAAATTAGTTTCTCACGTACTGATCTTGACAGGTCAACTGTCACGAATTGGTGTACGTATCTGGAAATGCATCAGTCCTATAAACCAAGCCTGGTCTGCAAGAAGTGGAGGTCAGAATTGGCACACTTTCGAACAAATGAGCTATCCCAAATCACAGAGATTCAAAGGAACAGATCCTTCTGGAAAAGCTTTTCCACATGTTCCATTTGTCAACTTTATTTGCATCATCTGCATGTTTAGAGACCACATTTTAGAAAATAAGTCTCCATGCAGAATGCTGCGGGGTTCAGTGCTACAGGGAAATAAACTCCCTCCTCCTCCTTACACTTAACCCTCCTGTGTATAAAAGAAAGCTCAGATTTTCTCCTTTTGAACAAAATTTTCAGCTCCTCTGAAGGATTCACATTGTTAATATGAAAAACAAAATGAAAGTTATTCAAAAGTTTAATGTCAAATAGAGTTATTCAAGAGAAAAAGAATGGAAGAAGAAAGTGAAATGTCAGTCCAGAGGTGACAGAGTAGTAAACGGATGTGTTTAATTTCCTGTTGTTAAATAAATTTAATCATCTCCTGTAGCTGGTGGAAGCCCTTCTGACCAAAACTGTGCATGTAATTTTATCATACACTTGCATCTTGATACAGCTGCTCATATATCTTTATCATACACATGCATCACACACATGCGTTTTCAAGTGTGAGAGCTCAAAGAAGCTTAGTGTAACTAACATCCTTCACCACTTCCAGACACAGCATATTCCAAAGACATCTGTTCAGTCTTTGACATATGTTGAACCGTATTGATTTACGTCACTTGTAGAATTGGTCAATTTTGTCAGCAACAGCAAACCATAAGAAAAAAATGGGCCATACTCAGACAAAGCATCTGATTTTGGAATTTAAAAATCACCAGACTGTGTATATCTACCTGACATTGCTGCAAAAACCTTTATGTACAAAAGGTCACTTGCCATTGCAAACTGACCTCTCAGGATGAGTTTCATTAGAAAGCATAACGCAACTCTGTCGTTATCCTCTTCTGCCCTCCAGGTCAGCTGGGTAAAACCAGGTGTAGCTTAATTCTACCCTTATCTCCTGCTCAGAGTTTGAAGAATTGCAATGGCTATAGAATATTTTTTAACAGTTTTACCTCTGTGATAGTTGTTGTGTTTGAATATTCACTCATTTTTGCTGTTCTAGTTCCCTGTTTATTGGTTTAGTGAAACAAAACAAAAATAAAACCATGCGGATCTCTCCCATCACATTTTATTTGTTGTTTTGACTTTTGAGGCTTTAGGATAAAACTGAAGTCATAGAAGTAAATCATGTAGGACATATAGCCATAGGCATTTTCAGTGAAATAAGTTCTCCCAAGAAGGTTTTGACTTGTTACATGGAAATTAGCTTCTGGCAGGAAGAAGCCACATTTCACAGATCTTGGACTCTGTTGAATTTCTCAGGGGCATGCCTTCAGCTAACATCACTGCTTCCACAGATGTAAATGTAGTATTGGTGTTTAAGAGAAGAGCTGAAAAGAAAAAGAAAGAAGGAAAAAAAATGAAGAAACATTTTTTCTCAATACTATTTATGACTCTTCAGGAAAAATGACACCATGGATTATGTTTGAAGGCAAAAGCAGTGTCCTACTGCTGCACTGATGACTGTACAGAATAATGAAGAATAACCCAGAGGTCACTTAAAATTGACTGTTTTTGTTAAGCTTCTTTTCAAAAAATGTAGTGAAATTGATTTTCTAGTGATATATTTAATTGAAAAACAAAATATTTAGATATAATGTTTCATGGAGGTATTATGAAGTATATCAGGCTGCAGCTAGCAAGGTGCATCTAGCATTGGCAGAAGTTATGAGATATTTGATCATTGGGAGTCTTGGAGCTTGAGGAAGGTAGAAGTAGGCCAAAAAGAGAGAGAATAGGACTTAAGATAGCATCTGTGAAAATCCAAGATAGAAGAGGAGGCAGTTTGATACTGTAGAATCTGTGTCAAGGATTTGTAGCTTTTGGGAGTGAGAACGTTGTGCAGCTGCAGAAGAGGTTGGTCTTTGATAAGCAGTAGGGAAGGATTTGAAAAGCAGAAGGGGATCAGAGAGAATGGGATAGTGAGACCATAGACAATGCTGAGGACTGTCAGGCAGTATAAACTTACTAGTGAGCAAAGTCATATTCAAGTGAAATAATATGACAAATACCACAGATAATAGAGCAGTTATGTGACAGGCATTGATGAAAATTCATTTGGGCAAAAATACTTGTTTATGTCTGTCCCATAAATCTTGCTGATAATGATTTTGTGTCTAAAAAAAAAAAAAAAGAAAAGAAATGAAAGAAACGCTTCTCATTCTCTCCATATAAATATTGGATTCAGTTAAGCTGCTGTTAAATGTTTATGTAAATGTTAAAGGTTTTCTACCTAACAGTCCTTCAGACGCACTGTGCTTTCTGTTCTAGTTGGCAACGTGGGACTCAGAAAAGGGACTGAACGGCAGCCTGCAAGAACGACGTCTGGGCAGCGACTTGCAAGGACTCACCCTGAAAGTGGTGACTGTCTTGGTATGATCCTATTTGAGTTCAGGAATCAAAATGCTCAAAGTAAATAGGGTATACTGAATATTTTGGGTGCTTCCTTCACTATTTTCCCTATCATTCTCAATTCTGCATTTTTTAGTGATTAGCTACATAAATAAGGAAGATAGATGATGGCCTTTCAGTAGTTTATGCGAATCTGCAGACCCTCAGAGATACAGAGCCTGTATGTATTTGCCTAGGTTTTTTGTCTGTATCAAAATTCATACTGGGCCTCGAAGCAGCACAAGGCAGGAGTGGGACACATTTCAGATACAGCACCCTCAGTTATGCAGTTTCTAGTGCTTCATGGATTTTAAGATCAGATGGGCCAATTACGATAATCTAATCTTGGCTATTGTACACTGCAGGCTGTAAAATTTAATTATTTCCTCCATCAAGCTCATAACTTCCAGTTAAGATAAACTGTGTCTTTTAGAAAGATACAGTCTTTCCAAAAATCATTAGACTGTTGGGGCTACTGTTTGTTACTGTCCTGGGTGGTAACAGAGCTCCTATCAGGTAAATGCTAAATTGGTAAATTGGGAAAAAACAAGATTTGATTGCATTTCTGCCTGAGCTTTGGTATGGCTCGCAGATTACAGACTATAGTGTCTTTTTTTTAATTTCTCCCCTCTCTGTTTTATTAGTTTAGCTAGAAGGTACTGCAAATGCTCCTAGAGGTATTGCTCTGCTCCGCTCACCCCCACGTTTTCTCCTCTCAGCCTGGTAACAAGTGAGGTGTTATGCCTTATTGATAGGTGAGGTGAGCAGAGCCATTCTGTGGGAATGGCAGTACCACTTTGCTGATGTGGCCAGTCACAGCAGCTGAGAAAGCAGCTTTTCTGGCAGGATAATAGGATTGCCATGTCTGACAGAAGATGTACCCCCAAAATGTTCTTGGCTCCCAAAATTTCCTTTCAGAAGACACACCAAGAAACAGTGCCCCCCGAGAACTGCTCCTTCAGTTTTCAAAACTGCAGATAATCACATAATGCAGCATTTTTAGCTCTTTCAGTAGGTACCCTGGGTAAAAGATTAATCGTTGTCTGTAAAAGATAACTTGCTATATCTCGTGTGCTCTGAGATGCAGAATATTAGTATTCCTTTCTAGGACTTACTTGCTTATCTGTGTTCTAGACCATTCGTTAGGGCACTAAGGTATGTGTCCATGCCCCCTTTTTTGTCCATCAGAAGAGGCATTGCTGAGAGGGCAGTTGAGCTCACAGGCAGTGGGAAGCTGCCTTGGAGAGATGAATTGTAACCTGGAGGGTTTGTCTTTTCTCATGAACTGCGGAGCTGCCCTTCAGCTGCTGAAGCACAAGGTTTCTGGTGCTGCTTGCTAAGCCTTGTGTTATCCTGCCCAGATTACAGCTCTTGCTTCAGGTGGTTGCAAGTGTCTCAGGAGTCTGCCCTCAACTATCCAGAGTTAACTCAGGAAACATGACTTTTTAGTAAGCAAACACAATGACAAACTTGTTTCACATATCAGCTTTGTTGTTATTTTGTTCTCAGGAAGAGCCTTTTGTGATGGTGGCAGAAAATATACTTGGGCAACCAAAACGATATAAAGGATTTTCCATTGACGTCCTGGATGCACTCGCCAAAAATCTGGGCTTTAAGTATGAGATATATCAAGCTCCTGATGGTAAATATGGACAGCAGCTCCATAACAGCTCCTGGAATGGAATGATTGGGGAACTCATTAACAAGGTACACAGGGGAGAAGCTGCTTAAAAAAAAAAAAACCAAAAGGCATCTTCAGAGTAGGGTATCAAAGTTTTTTAAGGGGTCTGTTGAAATTCTTCTCTTCTTACATTTGAAATTCTAAGATATTGGATTGGGATCAAATCTGCAGTTCAAAACACTTCTGCACAGCATGTGCTTTGAGTGTAGTCTGTGCACTGTGTCTGTAGAACTGTTCACTTTAAGACCTTCTATATAGGATAAGAACTGCAGTCTGTTGTTCCGTCTATTTAATCCCAGTTGATATCACTATAAATTATGGTTGAAAGTCTGTGTGTCTGTGTATAACTGTCAGTATAAAAGAGGAGGGCACATGTGTGTGTTTGGTGAATGAGTGCAAAATGTAGAGAAAGAAATTCAAATTTTCCTTGCTGTTGTAGTTTTTCATCATTATGTCTTTACTACTTTGTAAGTATGACTTTCTTTGGGCCACCTTCTTTGTGGCAATGTGTTTGATAATGATCAACTATTTGACTCCAAAACAGGAAATCTGTCCCTAGTAAAAAATGTTTTGAAGGACCAGAATTTAAATTGATTTCAAGTTATTTATTCATTTAAAACAAAAAGGTCTTTTTTTTTTTTTTTTTAACTTAATTACAGGCTTGCAAAACAGGAGTAAGTTAATTGAACACCTTTGAAATAAATGGGAGAGTCCATAGCTTACAGTCTCCAGGAGAATGAGATTAGAATGTATTTTGTTCATTTTCTCAGTATCTGACATGGGACAAATGTTAATCAAAGAAGAAGAATCAAAAGAATTAATACTTCATGTCATTGCCCTTTGCAGAAAAGGTCACACTTCTGCAATGGAGTTATTGCTGAAAGTAAAACCTTTCTTATTACCTAGTAAGTAGGTATATCAGGATCTGGTAAGTAGATGCCTAGGAAGAAACAAAAGATATCAAAGCAATACTCTACTTACTTTCGCTTGATACAAGCTTTTTGAATTTTATTGATTTGAAAATCTAGTAAGAAATGCTCTGAAATTTATTTGGAAATTGCTTTCTTTGAAGTAACCAACTATTTAGAAAAGTATTTTTGATACTGGTCTTTCTACTGACTCCAAAGGATTTCAAAGCAGACCTCATTCACCTAACTTTCCCAACAAAATGTAGAGATATGAAACAGAAGTACAATTTAAGATAATTGGTTTCATTAAGATAAAAAATTATTAAAGAACTAATTGCAGCTCTCCAGAAGATTTGGGAAATTTATTTTGTAAACATGATTTTATCTTTCATTAAGTTTGCATAATCTTAAAGAACCTACCAAATGTAAAACCTACTCCCTTCAAATGTGGAGGTCAAAGTAATTTCCAGAGCTAAGTTGCCTTTGCAACTTTGGTGCATTATTCCAGTTATTATTTTTAGCATGCACATTATTCTTTATAAAAACAAATAGAATATCTCCCTATATGAAATTCTTTCATTGGAAGTTGACAACTTCCCAGGGAGTGTTACAAACACCAGCTATGCACAAATTGCTACTGAACACAGAAGCTGAAGAAAATTTGCATGGAAAAGGAATATGGATTTTTTTTTTGAGTAATTTTAGTAATTTGGGGTTAATAATAGAGGGGAAAAAAAAAAGCATTGATAAAACTATAATAAATAGAGATGGTGTTTTTTTCTTATTTCTTGCAACATACCAAGTACCGATGGCTTGGAGTTTTAGGCACTCTTTGGAAAGTGAGTGAGGCAAGAGGATCAGATAAGCTATAGCCAGGCCAGTCAAGAGTCAGTGTGGCTCTTTCCGTTCTAAAGTATTCCCACAAGTGACATTCCACTCTTCTGCTTAAAACTAGTTCAGTAAATAATGTCTGAACGATAAAAACATTTCTGATTTTATTTTAGTTTATCTAAGCAGGAGGAAGTGCATGAAACCACTTGCCTAAAACAAAACGAAGTTGTGTCCCTAAGGCTCTCACTGCAGAGTTCATGGAACGAAGGAATCTGACCTCTTACGTTTCTCTCGTAGAGAGCTGACCTAGCAATCTCAGCCATCACAATCACACCCGAACGCGAGAGTGTTGTGGACTTCAGCAAGCGTTACATGGATTATTCAGTGGGGATCTTAATCAAAAAGCCTGAAGAGAAAATCAACATCTTCTCTCTGTTTGCTCCGTTTGACTTTGCGGTGTGGGCTTGCATTGCGGCAGCCATCCCTATAGTTGGTGTCTTGATATTTGTCTTAAACCGGATCCAGGCCATCAGGGCTCAGAACACTTCCCAGCCAAGTCCTTCAGCTTCCTCCACTCTCCACAGCGCCATTTGGGTGGTGTACGGCGCCTTTGTACAGCAAGGTACCTACTCTGTTATAAATTGCACGTTGAGAAGTTTTCTGTCTTGGACAAAGCTGTTTAGGGGGTGATATGTTTGGCGTGGCCAGAATGGTCTCAAGATGAAAGAGAAACTAGGCTTGTACAGGAAGGTGATATGTTTAATTAACCTAGCTGATGCACTAGGTGGTACTACTACTACTACTACTAGGTGGTAGCACTCCTTCACACACGTGTTTCTACACTGTAAAGAAGATCACTGGATTGTTAAACTACAGAGCTGTTTGGGACAGCATCTTTTTTTCAGAAACTAGCACCTTTTCCAATAATATAGGTATTTTTTTTTTAAGGCTCACATTTTTGAAGTAATATTTCTTAGAAGCAAAAAGCAAAATGATTTATGGCCTTGTAGCTGACCTTACACTCAGATATCTGTAGACATAAGACTAAACATATTGAATTTCATGTGTGTCAAAACCATTGACAAAGTTACTTTTGTGTATAATTTTTCACAAAATCATTTTCACCCCATATCTGTAGTACTAATAATATTCTGTAAAGGCAGTTTAGTTGATTGCCAGCATAAGGAGCATTTGTTAACTTTTTTCTACTTTTTCTATTTATTGCATATTGTGATTGTAAGCTTCCAAAGCTTCATCTGGAAACACCAAATTGCAATACTGCTAAAAACTTTGCCCTTCATCTCACTGAGATGGCATCTGTAGTGGATTTAAGTAAAAGAAAGGTAAAATAAAATTACTGTAAACATGCACTACTGTAACGAATACCAGCTATAAAGTTTGGTCCCTAAGAAAGTCCATACATAACTGTGTTTGAAGCTTGCTCAGAAGAGAAATCTTGTTGTTTGAAATGTAGGAAAGCATAAGAAACAATGGCACTAATGCTAAGGTATTTATAGATGTAAGTGTGGTACAGATAACACATGAACTATTGAACAGTTTTGTGTCTTTGCAAATTTCAAAATAACCATTGATATTTAAAATATCCATTGATATCCATTGGACCATAAGCTAAATTCTGAACACCGTAATGATTTAACTCCTGCATATTAGTCCTGTTTTAGCCTCAAATGTTTTTATTGTAGACTGCACAGGGGTGATGAGATTCCTGAGAGCTGTTTCCTCTCTTTGCTTGCAGGGAGTGAATCCACGGTCAATTCTGTGGCTATGCGCATTGTAATGGGCAGTTGGTGGCTCTTCACCCTTATCGTGTGCTCATCCTACACAGCTAACTTGGCAGCTTTTCTCACAGTATCCAGGATGGATAATCCTATAAGGTAAGAGTCTCTTCTTAAGAGGAAGCTGTAAACCTAGATTTCACAGAAATGTATTACCCATTTGAACACTCATTTTTCTGAGAAGAAGATAACTCTAGGAAAATATGCACCTTATTTTCAGTGGATGCTTTTCTCCCTGCCTTTCTCCTTCAGTCTGGCAACCCCCGAACAATTTTGACAGGTGAGTGTAAGGGACAATGGCACTTTAATTGTGCATTACTCAGGGATAGAGCTCTCTTGTTTATTTGTATTTTGTTTAACTAGAGCTCTCACTACTTGAACTACAATGTTGAACGTTGGGAGGAGCTGCTACCTTTAGGGAAATGTATAACCTTGCACTTCTAACCCTCAATGTGTAATTTTATGTTCTGAGTATTTTGATATGCCTTGTTGTTTATAGTATTACTTGCATGCAAGGTAATGTAAGATGTAAAATAATATGAGCAGTCTTTTAAAATACAGAGGGCCAGATTCAGTGGGATTATTTGCAGAAAAAAAAGGTTCTGCTCAACAAGGAAAAGGTAACCAAATTTGACTCCAGGATAATAGATGCAATATAGCAGTGATTTTATTAAATTTATATATAATTCTGTGCATTTGTGTTGACAGTTATCACAGTGATAAATTACAGTTCCTGTAACAAACCCAATTTATTTTGCATCTTTGACTTCTTTCACCTGCTGTCTGCTTACTAGTCCATGTCCCATGAGAATATATTCAATAAGCCCAGTCTTTGGACAGCTCATAAGAGCTGCTGTTTGTTTGGTGTTCACATTATTTCCAGCTTAACTTCTTGTTGCCTACTTGCAGGTAACAGTCCTTTGAATGAATGAGGTATCATAATAATAATAATAATAAAAACATTTTAAAATAAATGTGTCATCTCTTTTTGACCAGTTTTGGAAATTAGTAGAAATAAGAACTCTGAGTAATTTCTGGAAGTAACAAGAAAACTACCTCAGAGTATCTGAGAGTCCTGTCTGCAAGTCCTCATGACATATTATCAGGATAAAGTTAAACTCAATGAATACATAGGTGAGTCAGAAATAATTATCTGGAAAGTTTAGATAATGATCTTCTCAGCTGCTTCTGAAAGTTCTAGTTCTTTCGTGGTAGCAGTAATGGTCTGTTTTGTCTACTGAGCACCTTCCAAAACTAAAGTTCAGAGGAGGACAAAAGCGGAATGAAGTATAGTCAAGAATCTATTCAAAAAAAAAAAAAAAAAAGAAAAAAAAAGAAAAGGTACAGATCCAAGAATTGAATTTTAGTTTATGAGATGAAGCCTTTAAAGCTGAAGTATTAAAGCATCTGCAAGGGAGGTTGATTCTTTTCCTTATTAGATTGAAATATGTTACTAAGAATCTTGTTGTGAGAAAAAAAAATCTCAGGTTAATCACTTGGAAGAGAAGTTGTTTGGTAGTGTCTGGTGGCTTCAGAGCACAGTCTGTCTTCTACCTTTAAAGATGGCAGTTGCTGAGTTGTAACTCTAGGCCTATCCACAGTCATGGAAGTGCAACTTTCCCAGCATCACATTCCATTTGTACAAGGTGAGAGTACAGGAGGCAGAAGGCGTTGTAAAGTGATCTGCAAACATAATCATCCAGGTGCCAAGACAAAAATGTCTAATGTCATTTAATTTGCCATAAGACACACTGCCTGGGGTCTAGCTGGTTGGCCAGGTGGGTAGGAGGGTCTCATAAGTCCTGTCAGCCACACTGGGGTTGATCCATGTTATCTGGAGTGCCTGAAGTGGTCCCAGTTGCTTTGGTGAAGGCATTCAAGTCATTCCCCAGATAACCTGAAATAGCAACTGTCCGAAGACTCTGTTTTGACAAGCAGTTGATAGGACTGAACTAATTCAGGGGTTGGCTTGTCTTGGTGACTTTTTGTGAAGTTAATGACATCTTATTTAGATCTTGCTACTCTAAAAGATGCTTCTGATCTAAACCCTGCCATGAAAAGCTGCCGGACCCTCAAGAAAGAGATGAGAAAGGTTTAAAAAAATGTAAACTAAAAAAAAAAAAAAAAAGTTATCCAGTTTCTTTATTGAGTCTTCTTCCACTTCTGAGCTATGGTGACGATGTTTTCGTGTCCCCACTCTGTAGGAAGACATCTTTTAAATTGCCATAGCATCACATTTAGAGTGAGTATTTTTCTAAGAAGGTAAAAGGTTCTTGTCTTGCGTGAAAGCAGCACATCCTGGTCTCCCAGCTTCCAGTCCTGCTTGATTTCAGTGCAGTATGATGACAAGTGAGGATTTTCGCCTCTCTAAATTTGCCACCGAGCTTGCCTACATTGTGTCTTTCATGGACTCAGAAGAAATATTTATTTGAAGTCTGTTTTCCCTCCCAAAGAGGCACATTGGGTTATAACTGAAAATTTGTTCCCAAGCTGAGAGCTACCCAATCCCTCTGTATGCGCTTCCACTGTTAGGAAAGCAACTCCCGTCCTTTCAGTAATCTCTCCCGCCCTAGAGCAGCCCTCTGATGCTCAGTATTGACGGTGCTAAATTGCCAGCAGGGGAGAAACTGGTATATGGTGCTGCAGTAGCTGCAACGTAGTTAGAGCTTTCATTACAGGCCTGATTTTCTTCCCAAGCTACCTCTAAAAGGCCTATTAAAAGTTGTTTCAGCTTCAAATTTGGCATGCGTGGCCTCTGACTAGCAGAATAGAAGTATGGGTGATTGAATAACTAGGTGTCAATCAGCCTTGTGTAGTACTTACCTCCACAATTTCACTGCCAAACAAGTGTATCATAGAAATCCTAAGTGGTATTTATTAGAAGTGCTTGGTGAGACATTCACTGAAGTAAAGTTGAGCTGCTGGAAGGCAAATTTTTTAAATTAGCATCAGATGAAAGCCTACGGGTGAAGAAATAAGTTTTTAAAAATTCTGATATTGGCAATTCTTGCAAGTTTTTTCCCATCCTGCCATGAGTGTCAGGATCTGCCTGTGATTCACACAAAGGTGAAATAGCCAGAGTAGGAGGCACAGCAGAGAGTAGCTTTGATAGGCTGGTTTTCTTTCTAAATTTCATAAAAGAGATTTTATAAATCCCCAAAGGGTTCTGCAGTACTGTGCTATCAAGGTGCCCATATCCCTTGAAAGAAATATTTTTCTTTTCAGAAAGAACAAAAGTCTTTCCTTGGATTTCCTACTCTGGAATTTCCTGCTAGGGTGGTGTGCTGGAAAGCATAAGTATGCCGAGTCTGAGACATCCATCAAAACTTTGGGCTTAAGGAGATGAAGATTAGCAGAAAAGTAGTGTGAAGCTGCAACACTAGCCTCCATTTTCCCTGTGCTAGTGAGTGGTATTTCTGACCCTCTTTGCTCTTTTCTAGCTGCTTCTTGGAGGCTTCTGTCCAAATTACTGCTCTTCTAAGTTTTGTCTCTGTGCACACATTCCCCACCTCACAACAGGAAGCAGGGAGGACAAGAAGAGGGGAAAAAGGCAATAAAGTGATTGCCTCTTTAGGACTGCAAGATTTCTGCTTTGAAGGAGATTCACAAAAAGAGCAATGCTCTCTTGAAGGGATTTCCAGACCAGACATAAAGAGAAGAGCAAGAAGTTATAGAGTTGGCCTTGCAAATAAATGATGCTCTATTTTTGTTTTCAAATAACAATCAGACATATGCTTAAAGCCTTTTACAGTCCTTGACAAATTTGTTTAAACCCAAATGATTTGTATTTGGTATTTCAACATTTCATTTCAGAACTGTCTGCAGATGAGAGGTCTTCTAGTGGGTCAGTCTGCCAAATATGGTCTGAATTACTACATGCAAATTTGTCCTTTCTTTTGTCTATTGCATTTTCAAACAGCCCTGGGTTCTGCTGTCTGACCTTCCCTTTGTAATTATGAGCTTAATTAGCAGTGACTTAACTTCCATCTTCATTTCTTGTTAACAAGCAGACTTCACGCAGTTCAGTAGCTACATTGATACTCAAGGTTAGGAGAGCTTATCTGATGAGAAGTAAGAATCATGCAGGAAATAAAGGAAAAAAGTAGGCTATTTACAAATTCAGGTGAGTTTAAATTTAAATTTTTATCAGATTTTTAAACTTTTGCAAATGCTATGGATGTTTAAAAGTATCTGTATACATGCACTTGGTAAACACATCAGTACATATAGCTTGCATAGAAAAGCATGTTTTTTATGTATATATATCTGTATGGTTTTTTTTGTGATCTGCAAGTTCTTTATCTGCATTTTAATCCCCAAATTTTCAGCGTTTTCGGTGACAGTTGAAGATTTACTGCACCTTAGTCATGTTGGCAGTCTGGCACTTGGAAGACTTGGGTCCAGATTCTCTATCATAGGCTTTATTTGATCTTTGCAAGCTTAGCCTCCTGTCTGTATCTGTTCCCCGTTTGTGTAGCATAGTAACATTTTTATGTCACTTATATGGCATGTTGTCAGTTTAGCTGCTTTAAAGATGATACCCAGAAACCACCATATTACAATAGCTCTACAAGTATCAAAAAGATGGATTTTATTGGCTGCATGCAAAATAGAATTAATCTTAAAATACTTCAAAAGAAAATATGGAAAGTATTTTGAAGATGTCAGCTAGAGAAAGATGAACAAAGATTTCATGTGCTTATAGTAAAGTGGATTTGATAAGATTTGGTAGCAAGAAACAGTAATTTCTCTGAATTTGCAGTGATTTTGTCTTGAAATTCCTTGTGCTTGAAAGCAGCCTTCCTGTTGTTAATGTCACGCATGGCTTTCTGATTTTTTTTCACTGGATTTTTTTTTTTTTTTTTCATTTTGTTATGTTTAACTTGCACAGTGCTCTGTAGTCTTTGTGCAGCACCTCAGGCACATTGGCAGGAGGTATATATGAATGAGCATGATAAAAAATAATCACCATGATTATTATTTAGGGCCTGTGAGCAAAAGTTTCAATCATTAAGTAACTAAATTAAGTACACCCATAAAAACTAAGCATAAAAAAAGAGTGTAAGATGGAAGTGAGTGAGCAGGAGTGAAAACAGCCA